ATGTCGATGTTTGATCGTAAAATACAAAAAAACTGCAGGTCTGTGCGAGTTACAACAACTGAATTCGTACCCAGCGTATCAAAATCTATAGATTTATGTAAACTAAAAGTATTCCCCGAATGGGGGCAACGAAACTTGTTTTCTAAGCGACTTTTGGGGTCACAGAATACGGCCTAATATAAAATGGAACTGGAATCGAAAGTCTGGATTATTAAATGAAGTTCCCACTCTGTATTGTGGCAAGATGTTTGGTGCCGCATTGAATGAGCCCAAAGCGAACAAGCACGGATAGCCTGCATGACCTTAATTACAGTATATAGTAAGCTGATTCATGCACACTTTTTGCCTACTATATATATAGTAATTGTTCAAAAACTTAGACTTATACTTCAGTGTTGAAAAACTATTTCAATAAGGATTTCCAATTCGTTACTCTTGTTGGTAAGTCACTTTGCATTTAGTAACATATAGCATTTGGAAGGGTATATTATCTCAGGATGCTTGAATCTCATCGTTTACTACCCTATGGCCAAACCTTGAGGAATAATGAAGGTAGAAGGGTCAGTCAAATCTCTGACAAAAGTTGTGGGTTTTCTCCAGGAACTCCGGTTTCGTCTTACAGGGAATGTTATCACAGTGGATTGGTATTATACCGTTAGTTAATCCTTCCACCGTAGCTGTCTCTGCTTCGTGATTGAACACGAGTCACAAAATGACAGCCAAAGATTCCCTTAAAAAGCTTTCGGCTCGATCTATAATCTTGGACAAAACAAACTGCGACACTCTATATATATATATATATATATATATATATATATATATAATCTGTTTCATCAGCAAAGAATCATGATTCTTTACTGATGAAACAGAGTGTTGCTGAATTTTGAGGTAAGCGAAATTATATATATATATATATATATATATATATATATATATATATATATATATATATATATATATATATATATATATATATATATATATATATATATATATATACATATATATATATAAAATTTGGTTTGTTGGTTATAAAAACTTTTGGCAAAGTGCTCAATGGAAAACCAGAGCATATTTAAATTAAGGTACAACAAATCAACAAAATCCACTAGGCATCTTTATATATATATATATATATATATATATATATATATATATATATATATATATATATATATATATATATATATATATATATATATATATATACGTGTAGGCGAAACAGTGCTTAGGCGAAACAATGATTGGGTTATTAAATTTTGTTAACGACCTTGTTTACTCGAAATCGATTTTTGTGACGACACTTGCCGAAAATTTTGCTTCTTTTATCGAGTCAATAAAAGAAGCGACAATTTACTCAATAAAAGAAGTGGAATTTTCTGCAAGTGTTGTGACAAAAATCGATTTCGAGTAAACAAGATCGTTATCAAATTTAATTACCCAAGCATTGTTTCGCCTAAGCACTGTTTCGCCTGAGCATTAATTGTTTCGCCTAAGCATTGTTTCGCCTACACGCATTCCACACATTCTTTCGCGTCAAAATGGAGATATAAATAATGGTGTCTGCAATAAACAATGCCATGGATACAAAACCCAATACCTGTGTGAATGAAAAAGAAATAACATTGTTAGAGAGCCACAGGACACTATTGTTTTTAGAACCTCTTAACACAGAAGGAGGCGCTGGTTAGATTTGGAGAAACCAACAACAAAGTGCATGCTTGCCTATCTCACTCGCAGGAGAACAAGAATACTAAGTTACTAACCATATATCTCCTAGTTAATGGGGTTTTAGTATAATTAGCATTAATATATTAAAGGAAAATTAATTCCTATAGCAAAAACTATTAATTATTATACTATTAACTACTATAGCTATTTTAAATGACGCGAGCCAACAGATCACGACACTTTTGTACAGCCTATAGACCTATAGGCCTTCTATTTTTATTTATATTTTTTTAATATTCAGCGCCTTTTCACATGAAAACAGTGGCGGAAATCTTGGTGGGCCAGGGGGGCGACCGCCCCCCACCTTCACGGAAAATACCGAATTTTCGGAAATTTTGACCTAAAAGAGGGCTAAAAACAGCCTTTTCGAGTGCAAATAGGGGGGTTTGTCGGAAATTTGAAAGTTTTGTCGGAAATTTAAGAGGCTTTGCCCCCCACCGGAAAAAGTAAATTTCCGCCACTGCATGAAAAGACTGGGACTAGGTTGATTTGGGGGCGGGGCGGAGGAAGGACGCAAGCCTGACGCAAGCGAAAAAATAGAAGGCCTAGTGGATTTCCCAACAACAAGGCCAAAACTGCCCTGAAACTACCCTGGTTGCAAACTGCCCAATTATTGCGTTCTCAAACGGAATTATTTGCAACTTAACAGCGAATTTGAACCGATACAGGTAAAATAAACTCATTTATAGTATAAACTTACTATTTTTTTGTATACACGTGTAGAAAATCGGGGTTTTTTATCATAAAGTTTGAAGCAACACTATTATTATGTTGACAAGGTGTAGCGAAAGCACAAAATGAGTCAAAATATATACCAAAAGTAGAATCTTTCATTTTGTCTTATACACAACTACATTAATAGATATTTTCTCAATTTTGGCAAGAAGCAGTCTTGTGTTTGTAAAATATACAAACACATATACAATTATAATTTATTGGATAAAACGGATACATATATTATTAGCCCGTACAGTACTGTATAAAACGTACATTGTTTACAAATGATATATCCGTAATACTTGACCAATAATTTCAAAATCCTCATTCCCGATTCGCAAATATAGTTACTCAAAGCAAAACAGTAGATTGTCTTGCGAACAAAAGAATTATTATTGTAATATATTTATTTATTTATTTATTTATTTACTTTGCCATCATACTTATACATTCATTGGTTGGGAAACCACAACAGCTATTGCCAATTACAGCGGCCCCAATAGTTATACAGAAACAATTTACAAGGTATACTAAACACACACAACAGACAATACTTGAACAACAGTCATTACATTTGTCTAAAAGCAGCATGTCAATGGAGAGTTCATTAAACTTCGAGCGGAATTACATTTTATACACACACTTTTCCATGTCCGGGGATCCTCAACATCGTATGTATTTTCTAATGCTAAAATATAGTACTTAAAAAGAAGATTCTTGAATTCTGAAAATGTTAGGTCTTTGGATGTAATATAATTGGGTAGTGTGTTCCATATTCTTGATGTTCGGATTTTGTAAGATTTTTCATAGGTTGACGTCTTGTATGTCGGAATTTTATATTTGTGCGAGTTGGGATTAAATGATCTTGTCTGTCTTTGACCCTGAGGTTGAGGAAATGGAAGAATTTTTTTATCAATATTAAAAATGTCGTGATTTGCCTTATAGAAGAATACTAGATCCAGGTATTCGTGCCAGTAGCTGAGAGGAAGCAAACTGGTTGCAAGGAGTCGGTCTCTATATTCTGTATCACAAATAAAGGGAACATTTAAAATATATTTAGTTGCACGCCTCTGAACTCGTTCTACTCTTTTCACCAACTCAACTGTTTGGGGTGCCCATACTTGGGTGGCATATCCTAAGTGTGAGCGAACCAGAGAAAGGTACAGTGTTCGTCGAATTGCAAACTCGCGAATATTGAAAGTTGATCTTCGAATATAACCCAGCATTTTATTAGCTTTGTTACTTTGTTGTGTAACTTGCTTTGACCAAGTGAGATCATAATTCGTCCATACACCTAAATCGAGTTCGCAATCAGTCTTTTCTAGTATGGTATCTTGTAGTTGATAAGGGAAATCTATTTTGTTGTGTTTCCTGGTGACCTGGAGGGTTTTACATTTTGATGTGTTAAGATGCAGACCAGCATTGGATGAGGAGGAATTAAAGTTGAGAAGATCATTTTGTAATAACATTGCATCGGTCCTGGAGTTAATCACTTTAAAAATCTTAGTGTCATCAGCGAAAGCTGCTACGTTCGAATTCACGATGGAAGAGGATAGATCATTGGTATATAAGAGGAAAAGTAGCGGGCCAAGAATGGAACCTTGTGGTACTCCGGATGTCACTGGTAGTGCTGTCGATGTTGCACCGAGAACAGTAGTTTGTTGTTGGCGATTTTTCAAGTAAGAATTAAACCACATTAAGAGATTTCCTCCGAATCCAAATTCTCTGAGACGATGTAGAAGACGTGCGTGACTAACCTTATCAAATGCTTTTGACATATCCAGGTAGATCACATCAATCTGCTTTCCGAGATCTAATTGGCTGCCGATGGTATCTAAAACTTCAATTAGTTGTGTCACGCAGGATTTTCCTGAAATGAAGCCATGTTGGCAAGAACTTATTTGACTGAAAGCATGTTCTTTGATACTAATGAACACGCAACGCTCTAAGACTTTGGAGACAAGTGAGAGAAGAGAAATTGGCCGATAGTTTTCTACATGATCTTTATCCCCCTTTTTGTGGATGGGTACAACATTGGCAAGTTTCCATTCTCGAGGTACTATTCCACTTTTTAAGGACTTGTTAAACAGAAGGCATAGAGATGGAGCGATTTGGTATGCAGTTTCGGTAAGTAATCTTGCTGGGATTTCATCCGGACCATGCGCTTTGTTGTTATCAAGACTTCTTAAAACTGAGCGCACTGTTCTTTCCGACAAAACAATGTCATTAAAAATAGTGTCAGTGGTTTCGGATATAGATTGTTGATTAACAATATTGATAGAATCACTCGAGAAAATTGATACAAAGTAGCGGTTGAAAAGTGTTGCGATGTCCCTAGGATTCTCGGCATATTCACGAACATTGTTGACACTTGTTTTTATTGAAATTTTTCCGGGACAGAACGTGTTGCGCCTTTTAGTTTAAATAGTGACCAGAAACATTTGGAATTGGTTTGGATGTTTGTGCAGAGAGAGGAAATGTATACGTAATGATTGACACTTGATAAATATACATATACCAAATATATCCAAGAGTTTATTACATGGTGTCAGGAGTGGATCTCTGAACAATATGGCAGCAGGAACCACTTACTGGGCAGCTCCTAAGCAACTCAACCGTGAAGGCAACGTTAGCTATGGCGAAAACTACCGCAAGTTTGACGAACATTGGGCTCTTTTCGAAAAGACGGAAATGAAAGGGAAGTCCGAGGAAGAACGATGTTCCTACTTCTCCTATGTATCGGCGAGAAAGGACGCGAGGTCCACCAAACGCTCACCTTCCCAACGCCAGAAACAGAAGCCGGCGAAGGTGATACGCTAGTTTGGAAGCAAACGACAAACAACTGAGGACCGCCTTTCAACAGTACTGTAACCCCAGAAAAAATATCTCAGTGATACGAGCGCCACAAGTTTAACATTCGGGGCCAAGCCGAAGATGAGACGATCGATCAATACGTGACTGTACTACGAACGTTAGCTGCGACTTGTGAATTCCAAACCCTCCACGACGGTCTTATACGCGACAGAATCGTCTGCGGCATCAAGAACCAAAGCTTAAAAGAACGTTTGCTACATGAAACGGACTTGACTTTAACAAAAGTAGTCGACATCTGCAGAGCTGCTGAAGTATCTCGAAAACAAGTAAATGCCCTGGGCGATAAGTCTCCTGTGAACGTAGACGCACTACGCAAAGATACGTGATACACGCCAACAAAAACACGTGATACAAAACGGGAACGTCCCAGATATCAAAACAAGAAAACCTGTGGGAATTGTGGCAGATCTCACGAACCGAATCAATGTCCCGCATATGGTAAAACATGCAACAATTGTGGTAAACGTGGACATTTTGCAAAGATATGTCGTTCCAGCAAGAACCGACCAAACTCTCATCACAACTCTCATATCCAACACCTCGAAATAGATGGCGACACCTCAGATCCCGGTATCGACGAAGTACAAGGCAATATACACGGCTCAACAAACGAACACGCGACGCTGAAAATCAATAATAAATTTATATAATTATTAAACTCGACTCTGGGGCTGAGACAAACATTTTAACTAAATCTGATTTTGAGAAAGTCGTACCGAGACGACAGCGCCATCACAAGCTGAAACTAAGCCAAGTGAAACTGACAGCCTTTGGTGGACACCCCATCCCTGTTATTGGCAAATGTTATTTACGATGCACCCATAAAGATTCGACTCGAGTTGTCGAATTTCATGTGGTCGAAAAGGGAACATCTCTCTTAGGTTGCGCAGGCGCAAGAGTATGCAACTTATTACGTTTAATAACATTGAACAAATTACGAGCGAGACGAGTTCCGATCCCTATCTGGACTATCGAGTGAACAAATATTTACGAAATATGCACACTGTTTCGAAGGACTCGGGCGGATATCTGAACCCTATCACATAAAATTTAACCCCACCGTCACTCCCGTCGTTCACCCCCCTCGGAAATTGACTGCATCTCTTAGAGACAGAGTTCATCGCGAACAGTCGTCTATGGAAGCGAACAGAATAATTAAACAAGTAGACTGCCCTACGGCATGGGTCAATTTCATGGTTGTCAACGAAAAACGGCCGATAATGGTCCAGTCGCTTATGCTTCAAAAGCCTTGAATGAAACCCGGCGTAGATACGCTCAAATAGAAAAAGAGCTTCTAGCCATTGTCTTTGGCTGCAAACGATTTCACCAATACGTCTATGGTAAAACGATCACCATAGAAACAGACCACAAGCCTCTCGAGAACATTTTTCGCAAGCCCTTATCTCAAGCACCAAGCCGTCTTCAGAAAATGCTGATGCAGGTTCAAGAATATGATATTAACCTAGTCTATAAGAAAGGTAGCGAAATGTACCTAGGCAGATGCATTATCCCGCGCATTTCCACCCGAGCTCAAAGAAGAACAATTCGAAAGGGACATGAACTCCGAGCGATTTATTCACTTTATGTCAACTGCGTCGTATGTAACTGCCCGAAAGATTGTAGCAATCAAAACCGAGATTCGTCAAGACGAGACCATGCAAACGCTTCGTGAACAGATCGAGAAAGGTTGGCCTGAGCATCGTTCATTCGTCCCACCAGAAATACGAACTTATTTTCCTTATCGTCACGATATCACCACCCAAGATGATATCATATACAAAGCCCATTACATCCTAATCCCTCACAAATTACGAGCGGAAACCCTCACCAAACTACATCATTCCCATCAAGGTATCGAGAAAACCAAACGACTTGCTCGCGAAACTATCTTTTGGCCCGGAATGAGCGCGCAAATTGAGGAACACGTATCAAAATGCGAAGCATGCCAGACGAATGCTAACGCTAACCACGAGAACCTCTCAAACCACGACACAATCCCTCGTGGCAGAAAATCGTTACAGACCTTTTCGAATGGAAAGGTAAACCACATTTAATCGTTGTAGATTGTTATAGTCGCTATCCAGAGGTTGCAGAACTACGCAACACCAAGGCACGAACAGTTATTTCAAAGACCAAATCAATATTTAGTAGACACGGCATTCCCGACGAGGTCATATCAGACAATGGACCTCAATATTCCTCACAAGAATACCAGCAATTCGCGAAAGATTACGACTTTACCCATACAACGATAAGCCCGAGATATCCTCAGTCTGGTGGTCTACACGAGAAAACCGTACAGATGGTAAAGAACGTCTTGGAAAAATGTCAAGCGCACAACCAAGATCCCTATTTGGCACTCCTCGACTATAGAAATACTCCCATAGACGGTGTAAGTCCAGCACAAGCCATAGTGAGTCGACGACTTCGATCGGTTCTACCAATAGTGCAACACAAACTCGCACCATCAGTCATCAATGGCGCGCAATTTTCTACTAATCTACAACGCCAGCAACAACACCAGAAACGCTACTACGACAAAACCGCCAGTTCTCTTCCTCCCCTGCGAAAAGGTGAAATAGAGAGATTTAAATATGATCCCAACTCGAAATGGGAGAAGGCAAAAGTCGTTCAACCACACGTAACACCGCGAAGTTACATCATTGAAACGAAAGACGGAGTACAGTACAGGAGAAACAGACGATACCTACGGCGAACTGGCGAACCTCCTTTCGAGACGACCGAAGCGCATATTGAGAATTTTATGCCAACGTATAAAGCCAGTCATGACCAGACACGGGGAACCAACCATCCCAACACAACTACAGGAGAAGCTCCTAAAAGAAGTCGATATGGACGTTTGATCAATCAAAACCCGAACTATAAAACCTGATTATGGACATATATACTCATAATTTTAGTATTCTAGTTTTACCAATAATTATATAGTAATTAGTATTATTTCAATCTTAGGAAAAGGGGGATGTAATATATGATGATTACGTAATGATTGACACTCGATCCAATTAGCTTGATCAGATCATGAATAAGTATTATGTGACATATAATTAAGGGGTCAGTCTTATATAGCCTACGCTGAGCTCAACATATATAGTCTTGATAAATATACATATACCAAATATATCCAAGAGTTTATTAGAATTATTTTGTGCTTTCGCTACACCTTGTCAACATAATAATAGTGTTTCTTCAAACTTTATGATAAAAACCCCGATTTTCTAGACGTGTATACAAATAAAAATAGCAAGTTTATACTATAAATGAGTTTATTTTACATGTATCGGTTTAAATTCGCTGTTAAGTTGCAAATAATTCTGTTTGAGAACGCAATAATTGGGCATTTCGTAACCAGGGCAGTTTCAGAGCAGTTTTGGACTTGTTGTTGGGAAATCCACTAGGTCTTCTATTTTTTCGCTTGCGTCAGGCTTGCGTCCTTCCTCTGCCCCGCCCCCAAATCACCTAGTCCCAGTCTTTTCATGTGCAAAAGCGCTGAATATTAAAAAAATATAAATAGAAATAGAAGGCCTAGGCTGACTTTTGCATATAAAAAGGGCGTGCGAATTAAACAAATCACATATTATTAGCACTGATGAACATCCGGGCTTACGGATCGAAAGCTTTGCAGTAAGAAATTTACGTGGTGTTTCCACAAACAAAACTATTATATATTTTATCGCCATTCAAACATACAAAGAACTTATTTCTATAGCTAAACTGTGACATGCTCAGGGACGGGCTCAGCTGAAATGGTTCCAGATGGATTAGCACACTTTTAGTACGAGAGTGCGAGGCATTATCCTGCAGTAAATTTAATCATTTCCAAAATGCGCTTCCCGGCATTCTGAGCTAGATTTTTATCAAAATTTGCACATGGAAAAAACGTCGAAATTTCATTTCGAATATTTTACAGTTAGAAAATTGTACGATTTGTTGGAAACAAATATCAACAAACAACAAAACAACTTATAAGAAAAGAAATGTCTCTATATATAAAACACTCTGCCACAGTGACGGGACGATTATCAGCTTTGATAGTAATATCTTCATTATCAATATTATTGGTAGTATATCTTATTATTATTGCTCAGAGCTGCACTGAAAATCACTCTTGAGAGTGGACCTCCTGATTAAAAATCGTAATTATTATTATTTATACTAGAAATACATGCATGCAACATGAAATATTCATTCTGTTTCTTCCAAATTTTCCATGAATATAGAACATATTGTTCTTACAAATCGTATATGTTTTTGTTTTTGAAATATGTTTTTGGCTGGTAAATTACGCCACAAACTTGGCGTCAAAAAATTAAAAATAAGCTATTGGTGATTTTACTGAATCCATTCAGCAGAGCAGACTGAGGGTACTTTAATTAATTAAAACTGAAATCTGTTTCTAAATACAACCATTTTATGGGAAGATATAGCCGATACAAATGTCGAAACTGAATCCGGCATATTGTCTCGGAAACTTAGAAATTTAAGTTATGATATTTTCGCAAGGGAATGGTTGTCAGGAACGTAGCAACCGGGGGGTGGGAAGGGGCGTAAAACATCCCCTTACTGTGAAATTCAGGCAAAAATCATGATGTAAAATTCAAATTACAATTTTGACATTTTCAGGTAAAATTTGCGTGGAATAAAGTAGTTATTTTTGTGGAATACAGTTAATTTACATGCAATTTGTTTGCGAATTTGCAGTAAAAAACTTCAGAAATTCAGTCCTAGTGCTTCAAAAATGTAAAAAAAATTTTTAAGATTCCCCTTTTCTTCCGAAGCTTATAATTATTACACTTCAGATACATTTTTAACATTGAAATTCAAACTGCAGATAGGTCGCTACGTCCCAGATAGTTGTATTTCGAAAACAATTTCAGCTTTAAGATATCCTTAATCTGCTCTTCTAAATGGATACATGAAATCACCTATAGCTTATATTTTTTGCGCCAGGTTTGTGACGTATTTACCCGTCACAAAGTAGCAGTTCCAAAAACAAAATAAGCATACGATTTGTAAGAATGATATATGTTCTATGTTCATGGGATATTTAGTACAAACGGGAAAAAAATTAAAGAAATCGAATCATACTGGCGCTTTTGCATGCATTTTTGACAGGCATGCAAAGAAATTTGCAACAGATGCCAAGAGATACCATGGGTGGGAGCGAGGTTTTCTAGGGTTTCAGCACATTACACTGATCCAGGAAATCGCGGCCACTACATGACGGAATGACGGAAAACAACCACCTGTTCATAAATTCGCCCCTACAACCAATCTAACATGTTTCTTTTTTAAAGACGGTGCCATTTCATCTGGCGATAATGAAGTGAAAGAAGCATGCAGCAAGTCGGTATTTTTGTTGAGGAGAAGCACGTGCTTGAGTATATCAGACATCTTGAAGAACTGCAAATTGTATCTACGATAAGAGAGAATTCCGTATTGTACTTCTTCGATTACAAATTCTGGCGGAGGGGGGAGGTGCATTGACAATTTTAGAAACTTGGGGGGGGGGAGCGTTGAAAATTTACTAATAATCTCAACAGCTAGGGCCCTGTAAATGTATGAGTTTTTTTCAAAACATCTTCATCCCCCTCCCCCTCTGTGTAATAAATGTACTTTTCCTTACAGCGGCTTGGAAAATCGACTTAGTCGCGCGATTACTGATTCAAGTACTGTTTAATTAAACTCGGACAGATATACATCAGGTTAGTTATTTGTTTCCCTCGATCTTTAAATTAATGTAAACATTTTAAGTTAACCAATATAAAATAAAATAGTTCAATTTTACAAACAGGTGAGAACAGGTATTTTATTTTAAATGATTATGCTGAATCTTATCAGTACAGTTGTTCCTTAGCATAGTGTCTTCTGCTGTCAGGAGGTTTCGTCAGGTAAGTGAATACAGCCACTCCTACTCCGGCGGCAACAGCAATTTCTACCACTGCCGGCTCCAAATCCTACTCTTGCACCTAATGCTGTAGCTGCTGCGGACATCGCCTTGGCAGTAATTGTTAAACTTGTTCCACTTGAGAATGAACTTCCTCCGCTATGATATCCCATACCATTTCTGAATATTTTCCACCGTTCCCAAGACGAAAACGATCACGACAAGCGCTACTCTTGACCAATTGATATGCACTTTAGCCACGTTTTGTACGTTAGGACAAAAACATATATATTGATTTAGGATTTTGATCAAAACCATCTGCCTGATATAAAAAGCAGTACGTTAAATCTCCTCAAATTTCCACCAACTTATAAACCTTGTAGAAATCAACTTAATAAAAGTATCAGAACAACTAACGTTCAATTTTGCAACACTAGACTATACGATACATTAAAAATTATAAAGAGGGTTGGAAACATTAAATTATCTGCTAAACAGGAAATCCAGAACCACAGTTGTTAATGTAACGCAAGATATAGGCCACGAATCAGTAAAAGATTCTTCATTTCTATATATTATAGCACGGTGGTCGGTTGCTATGCAATTTCCTCCCGCATCAACTGGTTGGTCACGTGACACGTAAACAATGGCGCAAGCAATTTATATGAGTGGCGAAGTAGCTAGGTATTATTTTGAGCTTTCCAAGTTTTTGTCGCAGTGAAATTGTTTTTTTAGATATTTTAATAGAACAAACTACACTCTCGAAAGTGATATATGTTGTCAATTTTTCCAATATGTTGCGAAATAAGTTTAAAATGCCCGTCGAACTCGGACCCTACCTTAAGACAGATTTCGTGTTTCTATGGCGACTGCTTACGACAAAATATACAATGAAGGGTCCCCTAGGAAAGGCAAAGGGAAATAACACATTTTCACTTTTATTCTCCCCCTTAGTAGTGTATATATTCCGTGTAAATTCAACAAAACCGGAAATTTCGCCATATTTTCGTCGAATAATCGCGATAACTTTGTTAAATCTCATTCTCGGAAGAAAAACTAAAATCAAAGTTGGAAATCATCTTATTTTGTTTCATTTAAACTGGGATCAAGCTCAGGAAATAGGTAAGGAACTTCGTTCGAAATCTTGTTTCATTTGCATATATTTATAGCAATATGCGTTCGCCATATTGGATTCCTTCGTCTCGAAGTATATCGTTAATTTTCATTTATTTATAATGTGTATTGATATTTACAGCCCATTATCTACATGCAGAAAAGGTAAAAGGTGTAATAAGAGTTCAAATCATAGAGGAAAATGTAATTCTGAGAAGCAGTCTCGCAAATTCTGGGTGAATTCTCCTGTATACAATCTCAAGGCAAGTCGAGCTGAAGTGATCAGTCAGAGGAAGGAAATTCAATGTTGGGAAGCAAATTTAAACCAGGCCGACTATCAAATTTCGTCCAAAAGTCAGGAACTAGAAGAGCTTGCAAAATATACAGAGGAACAGGCATCTACAACCAGTTAGTGAAATTATTTTCAGTTAATACGAGGTTTAATTGTATGTATTATTATAGGCCTATGTGACTGTAATAATTAATAGATAATTACTGAGGCCAACGGCATTATTCGATATATTGCAGCCAGCTGAGGCCGAAGGCCGAAGCTGGCTGCAATATATCGAATAATGCCGCTTGGCCGAAGTTATTATCTATTATAATTACTGACCCGAATCAAAAGTAATTATTTTCGGCTGGAAGACTACGTTGCCGCTGTTGGGACCGTATGACAATGAATCTATCCAACGTTACACTAGACATTTGTGAGGACATGCATGTAATGCATCGTGATAAAACAGATTTCAGTTTAATTAATCGCCCTAAATTAAAATCTCCACAAGCGGAGGTCAATTATAGTGTTCTAGTTTACATATTATCATTAATGATAAGGTTCATTCAAAGAGCGTATTAAACTGGATAAACACGGG